GTAGTTTCTGCACTATGACAGCAGCTTCATGGATTATAATTATGCAAAGGAAAAAAGTTGGAAGATGTATGCATCCCTCTTCTTAGTTTCACCATCACTGATTGACTTGGAAATCTCTGGGCCCTTTGGGAAAGTGATGCTTTCAAGATTTCTGTATTGAAATGTATTTTTCTACTAAGCAGAACAGCATGGTTAGTTGGTCATCTCCTGTACCAAAGATGATCTTCGTGGAACAGCTCAGGGGTGTCTTTGATGATAGAACTTCAGGTTAGGTGTTGGTCTTGCAGAGCATAAATTGAACTTTAGACTATAAAATGCTTCAACAGTCCTGGTTTTATGCTACCCTTAGAAGCTCGTTAGTTTAGTTGCAGCCTCCCATGCTTACCCTGATACTTCTATTGGCTATGGAAGTTCACAGTGCAGTGCATTGTGGAGCAGCGTCAGAAACTCTGTTATAGAAGCTAGGCACCAAATGGCTCCTTAAACCAGGGTTACAGTCACCAAAACGGAATGCCTAGTTGCTATTTTGGGGCCAGACAGCTCAAAAGCCATCTTTTTCAACAAGACTTTTTTCTTCCTGAAATTAATTGTGATTGCGCAGATAAAATATAACAGATAGAATTCTGCGGGATGCGTTGTTAGTGTGTGAAAACAGTCCAGATCCAAGGATCTCCAGGCATGCACTTCCAGAGGGCTGGAGACATCAGGTACCATCCTGACACCTGGGCATCTTCGCTTGGTTTCAAGTGGCCGATAGCCAGGTGCCAAATGAACATGCTGCCTGGCGAATTTTGAACACTGTTGTGGAGATGACATCTGATCCCCCCCTTCCTCCAATGGATTTCCCATTTTATTCTCCCAACTACCCTGTAAAATACTGTGATTTATATCAGGCCTCTGAGTGAACTTGATGGCTGAATAAGGAAACCCAAGCACATTATTTAAAATACCACAGTGGCTCCCCCAACATTCAATATATTTTCTTGACAGATAGGGAATTAGGTAAACTGTATTTAAGATAGAAAAATATTACAATATTTGTTCCAGATTGGTTCAACTATCACTTCTATTGTGACTTATATGCATCAAGTTTGAAAGATGTATATTAGAGCCCTATACTTGTTTACTCTGATGTAAGTCCCACTGAGTTCAATGGAGCTTACTCCTAGGCAAGAGGGTTTAAGATTGCAGTCTTCCAGAGCAATCCAACCTCCCCCTACCATGCACTAAGTCAAGTAGCTGTAGTGGTGTGGTAGTGAAACCTTTCTAGAGTGGGCAAGGTTGATATTGGATGGTGTGCTCCTTCTTACAACTTCAAAGTACATTCTCATTTAGATATTTTAAGTCCTTTTTTGTATTCCACAAAAAACTGCATGCTCAAGTAATACATTTTCCAGCATATTTTGAATAACTTATGTCAGTACGTGTCACCTTAGTTTTCTAATGCTGAATAAAATGTAAGGTTTGTTCACATGAAACTAGAAATTTCATTTGCCCTCTCACTTTTTTGTGCATGTGTGAATGTTGTTGATGGGAAGTAAGAAGAAGAGGTCCATTTTCAGTGACTAAATTATTACCGCTGTAGGTTTGGCCTTTGCATGATAGCCTGAAATCCTATATATGTTTATTGGAAATAAGCATTGAAAGCAGTGGGATGCATGCATAGGATGAATCTCATTTTAAAAAAATAGTGTTATGGAAAAACAGCTTTAAACCCTGCATGTTCAGTGGTACATATTCTCAAGGTTGGCACGCATAGCTCTGAGCCTTAGTTGTTGAAAAGTCATACAATTTATATGATTTCGATTACAAGCCTGGGTTGCAAAAAATAGGTGTTATTTTTTATATATACAAAAATGAAATGGGAAAAATCTAGTTTATAGATTCATAGTATCCTTTCCTATAAGCCAGCGTGGTGTAGTGGTTAGAGCGGTGGACTTGTAATCTGGTGAACTGGGTTCGTGTCTCCGCTCCTCCACCTGCAGCTGCTGGGTGACCTTGGGCTAGTCACACTTCTCTGAAGTCTCTCAGCCCCACTCACCTCACAGAGTGTTTGTTGTGGGGGAGGAAGGGAAAGGAGATTGTGAGCCGCTTTGAGACTCCTTCGGGTAGTGATAAAATCCAAACTCCTCCTCCTCTTCTAAGCCACACTTGAATATTTCACTCTTAGTCTGGCTTGTACCTGCAGTGACAATTGGTACTTATTATCACTTGGGTTTGCCAAGCGAGTGGAGAAATATCTAGCCCTTAAGAACTGCATTGTGCATATTCTGGTATTAATGTGAATATAAGTTAATTTGCACATGCAGAAAATGTTCAACAAGAAAATGGGGTCTGAATGATTGTCCTTCAGAAACATAGCTCTTTTTCTTTCCCCCAGTTTCATAGAGTATTCCTTCAGAGGCAGTGGGGTAGTACATTTTGCCCCAGATTGCATGTCAGCCATCCTGGACTCCCAGAACGTATACCAAGGATACACAAAGGTGTCTTACCCTAGGCAACCTCTTGCCCTGTCTCTGGATTGTTCCCTCTTTTTACCTTGCAAAAAGCCCCCACAATAAACCCTAGTTAACAGGTGAGGGTGTGACAGTTCTTAGTAGTTCTCTTGCTCTTTTCTCGGGAATAAGAGAGGCCACTCTATATCTTACATACATTTGAGCTTTCTACAGAAATGTCACAGGATATATCTCTTTGCATTTCATACACTTCTGGCATTGCTATTTACATGCCTCGTCTCCTGTCCCCCACCCTCAAGCCTCCGTAGCCTTATCGTCAGTTGAGGATCATGCTTCAGATATCTATTGAAGTGGACTCTAGTTCACAAATACTTGCACTGCAATACATCTGTTAGTCTGTAAGATGCCACAGGATTTTGTTCTTTGCAGGGCTGTTGGTTATAATCACTTTCCTAAAATCTGGTAATCTATCCTCATTGTGGTTTGTACTTGATTAAAAGCTAGACCTTTTGGTTCTGTATCACTTTTTATGTATAGTTTGGTATAAACTAGGGGGGTTATATGATATGATGGAAAGTTTGGAAAACTCGGATCTGAACTCTTAAATGTTCTCTGGCTTTTTAAATCCCATTCTTAGGTGTATGCCTAAGATGCATCTGGTGTGAACTTGGTGGTAAACCTAGGTGGCCTTAATTGGTTTGATAGAGGACTACAGTTGTTTTGGGGTGCCAGAAGTTGGGAATGACCAGATTCATTCTAAAAACAGAGGAAACTATTGGCTAGAGTTTACTCGCGTGCAAGTCCAGAGGCACTGCATATGCATGATTATATTTCGACGATGTCTTTTATAAGAGCAATCATGTTGGAAACATGCATTTTTCGTTATAGCATGAAATAGCCTTCCCGGTGGCAACAGAACAAAAGTTTAAAAATTCAGTTGCCATCTCTGAACAGTTTAGTGCTGGCAAACAGTAGCCTCTTCTCTATGCCCTCCTCCTTTTTGAAACCCTTCAGGGTGACACAAATGAGGAAGGTTCTGTTACCCTCGCTTAGACCCAGTCACACACACATATGGTTTCCTGAGTCTCCCAAACAGTAAGGCGGGAGCCCCTGTGTGTGCAACGTCACTATTTAATTAGTCGTCCCTGATTAACAAAACTTGGCGTTCAGCTTCCTTCTGCCCTCATCTTTCCTGGCTTCGAATCAATGGCTTTGATATGCTAATTAGGGAGTAATTTAATTTCAAAAGGCCGCAATTAACAAGGGTGTTGTGGACATGCTGTAGTTAAGCGGCGTAATCTAATTTGCATTAGTAACAAGCAGGGACTAATTAGAAGCTTAATTAGACACTTAGATGGCTCTTGTGTTTACTTTCTTAATGAGATGGAGTGGGGCTCTTTTTTTAATCTTTTCAAGAGCTCAGCAGAAAGCAAGCAGTGGGTGAAACCAGGATGCCAACGCCTGGCACTTTTTCAGTCGCTGAAGGCAGCGAAAGCAGGCCGGTTGCCTCACCCAGTCACTCCTCTCCGCAGAAGAGATGAAGGCTTCCAGTTCTAGCCTTGGCATCTCATCTAGGATAATAATGGCGGAAGAAACTCTGCTACTATGGAAGGATTTAAAAGTTGGCTATTTCCCCCCCTCATTCTGATGAAAGGCACATAGGAAGTGACCTTGTATCAAGTCAGATCATTGGTTTGTCTAGATCTATATTCTATAGATCAACTGGCAGTGGCTCTTCAGGGTTTCAGGTGGAATCTTTTCTAGCTGTATCTGGAGATACCATGGATTGTACATGGGACCTTCTACATGGAATATTGACCTATGGCCCTTCTAGGGGAAGGCAAGTGACTGTATTGGAGAGGCCAATTCCTGCTCATTGTTAACTATGTGGTCCCCTATTGAAGTGCTAAGTTTTGCTTAAAATGATGGATATGCAAAGGCTGTTCTAGGCTGTATTAGAAGCCCATAGATCCTTTACCAATTCATCTTCATTCCCACCAGTTGAACACCTCCTGTGAACTTTTTCATTATCTTGTATATACTGTACCTGCTGCACAGTCTTGATGGTCTTGTAATCCATTTAGTCGCCTGGACTGGACATTCAAATGTTATTTCCTTTGTCAAAAATAGAGTCCCCAGTTGTACAATGGAAATGTCTACAATTCTCACTTTTTTATGACGTAGGAGAAAGGAGACTCTAAGAAATGTAAGTCTATGCAACTTCTCCCTGCTCCAGCTTCAGTGAGACAACTGCCATAGAATTATTTTCAACTCCTCTTCAGAGTCAAGGATTTGGAGAAATAGGAAAAACTTGGAAACAACAGAATCTGGACAGGGTTTCACATTGTTTTGCATTGTAAGTTCACTAATGAATGTCAACACTAGAAGCAACACTAGACTATAGAAAAGTATGAAGTGCAAGAGCATGGGACATTGAAGGGAAGTTGTCATGTTCTTTTAATGACTATTGGTGCATGGGGTGGGCTCAAAAGTGACTTACTCCAAAATAAAAAGTTGCTTTTTAGCTAGATGAAAGTAGTAGATGAAAGTATCCATAGGTGTGATCCCATTAAAGGGGGTACCTGGACTAAGCCAATCCTTGCTTCCTTAAATCTCTTCTAATTTACTGTAATGCTTTAAATTCATTTTAGCTCTTGCAGATTTTATTTTCTAATCCCTTTCCACATTTCCATGTGTTTGTGTGTTAATTAAAGGGTAAAAAGCCACTCTGAGCAATCCTAGGTTCTTCTTCTCCTCCTGAACCCAAAGCCTTTTAAGATTAAGAGCTGTTTTCTAAAGACTTCCTATTACCCACACTTGGGGAGGATATCGTTCAACTCTTCACATGTTTAAGCAAAGACTGAATGTGAGTAAAGGTTTGTGAGAGAAAATACTTTATCCTTCAGAGAGCTGTGCAAACTCATTGCTGGCTAGCACTAGTGTTGCTTAGTCAATCTAAAGGCCAAGTTGTAGCATTCTGAAGTGGTCCTAGGGAGGCTTGGTCAGTTGGCAAGGAGATATCGCTCCCTTCCTTTCTACACCTTGTATAAGTCTCCACAGACCCTGGAATTCAAAGTATCAAGTAGTATGGTGCAGTATGTAGACTTTGGGGTTTCGACATGGGTGATGAGCCATGATGCTTAGGGCAGCTTCCTGTGTGACACGTTTCTCCTTGGCAGTTGGAGAACAGAAAGAATTCTGTGAAATAACCTTTATAAGGTGGCCTAGAAAATCACTGTTCTCAGTGCAACAGTACTTGATAATAATTTTTTTTAAAAAAAAGACTGTTCAGTTTCCCAGCTACTTAGCTTTAGCCTCAGCTATATCCAGATCATTTGCTGAATGCTGAGAATAAAATAAGCAGAAAAACAAAACTCTAGGCATGAAAAAGTGTTGATTGTGGCATCTCTTATGCCTGAAGAAACATCTTTTTCAGTACCAACTTGCCTACATGTTAAGATCTGCTGAGGCCCTTGTCCATGTACCTCCTTTATCAGAGATACATTATTTTACAGCAAGAGACAGAGTCTTCTCAATAGTGGCGTTATGCCTATGGAATGCCCTCCCCAAAGAGGCACACTTGATGCATACATTGCAGTGTTCCTGGTGCCTGGAAAAAATGTTATTATTTACCCAAGTGTCTTAGTCTGTTGTAAACTTTGGTTTGTTTTTGACATATTTTTTTGCTTGTAAAATTCAAGTACAGTAAAGGATGATGTAGAAATGTTTAGGTAAGTTAATAATAGTACGTTGCTAGTTAGGATAGTTGGGGCAACTCTGTTCTTCATCACCCCACCTTCTTTGCATAGGTCCATCTTCCTGGGTTCATAAAGCATTTCCTTTCCATTACTTTTTTGTGATCTTTTGCCAGAATATGGGCAACAGATTCTATTCTTAAGGGAGAGACAAACAGATTTGGGGAAATTTACAGGACTTTGCTAGGAAAGGATTGACTGTTGAACCTTGAACATCTGGCATCTCCACTTCTTTAAAACAATAAGTATGGTTTTTTATTTTACTGTTTTATCTTTTGTTAACTGTTTTGATTTTTTTTATAGTGAATGGCATATAAATTTTATGAAATAAATTAATAAAATAAACAAAAAATATTTACAAGCTTAAACGAGAGAATTAATTGTTTCATTTAGCTACTTCTGCTAACCTTTGGCAAAGAGTAGCTACATGGTGATGGATTTGAATCCTGGCGTTCACAGCTTGGGGAGAAGACCTTTTGGGTGGTAAACTGAGTGCTATGCCTGGCCTTAGTCTCTTCTTTTCTTGATAGTTCTGAAGCCTGAAAGAATGAATTGGGCAAACCGGTTTGGTTGAACGTTGGGAGGGGCTGAACTTTCATAGTTTGGAACTGAATGGGAATTGCCCTGAAGCTGTATGAATTTGGATCTCTAAGACTGTGGTTACTAAAATATGACAAGAGTATGTTCCGACTTTCAACCAAAAATAAGCTCCTGCCAGCTCAGTGCCAGAAGTTAAAAATTTCATTTGGCCTTCTTTTTTCAGCTAAAATGTGATAGAAGGTGCAAGAAAGCCAGAGAATTGTCCAAAACACAGGGTACGTATGTGAGTAGGGTTTAGAATATATTCTCTCCCTGTGCTTCCTGGAGATTAGGGTTTGTTTAATCTAGATAGAATGCTGTTGATGTGGAGTGTGATGTGCTACATATTGAATTTTCAGTGTAACTTCATATTTTGGTACTGGAAGGAATATTCATGCGTCTCAGATTGGTCATGGCTTCTGGAGTGGGGAAGGATGTGTGTATGCATACACGTTTGTATATTTGCACACATTGCCTACTGCTGTGTGCATGCTTGGCCCTCATACTTATATGCAACTATTTGCTGTACTTCCACCGTATAGTAACTTCACAATTTATGTGCTCATTCAACTTTATGTGTTTGGCAATTTTAAAAAAAGGGGGGTGAGCATCCAGGAAAAAATACTTTGGGTCAATGGAGGGTGGGACTGCCATTGTGTTTTGACTATACACAATTTGGGCTTTAAGTGAGATCCCTGGAGGGCTTACTGTACTTGCAGTGCACAGCTCTTGCTTGTACCATTCCATGTTCTGAACTTCCTGGATTTAACTGTGGAGTGAACTGAGGAGCTAGTGAGTGGCGCGTCTTGATTTTTGACATATATATAAAAATAAAAGAATTGTCCAGTAGCACCTTAGAGACCAACTAAGTTTGTTCTTGGTATAAGCTTTTGTGTTAATGCACACTTCTTCAGATTGCTTTTTGACATTCAAGTTTGGACAAAATTGATATTTGCTCCTTTTTAGCCCATATACTATTTACAGAATCAAGGGTTTTTTTCCTAATCGAAGTGAATCCTCTTACCTTCTGATGACTTTTCCAAGCTTAAAAATAGACCCTCACAGACAGGGTTCGAAACTAGCAGGGCACCAGGTGCATTTTGCGCCTAAAGATTCTCCATTTGTGAGCACCTCAAAAAGTCTGGGTGCCATGTTTTGAGCCTGACTGACACTCCAGGATTACTGAAATGTTTGTGCTTTGAAGCCTCAGAGTATATGTTAAGGATAAACAATATGTTAAGGAGTTTAGCAATAAATAGTAGAGTGTTTTGAAAACTGAAGTATGGTACCAATATTTTTATTGTAAACACTAAATTAAACATGTATTAATAATTTCTGTTAAAGTGATATTAGCAATCTCACTTATGTGAATTGTGTACTAGTTCATGCTTATCAAAATAATAAATAAAAAGTGTTGCTGAACCCCCCCCCTGCATGGCGACTGTACATTCTGTTTTGGCGCCCACAGCCCAGGTCCCAAGAGCCATTTGGCTCCCTGTTGTTGTTTAGTCGTTTAGTCGTGTCCGACTCCTCGTGACCCCATGGACCAGAGCACGCCAGGCACTTCTGTCTTCCACAGCCTCCCACAGTTTGGTCAGACTCATGTTTGTAGATTCGAGAACACTGTCCAACCATCTCGTCCTCTGTCGTCCCCTTCTCCTTGTGCCCTCAATCTTTCCCAACATCAGGGTCTTTTCCAGGGAGTCTTCTCTTCTCATGAGGTGGCCAAAGTATTGGAGCCTCAGCTTCAGGATCTGTCCTTCATTGGCTCCTAGCAGTTTCTAACTCCAAGATCTAAGTAGACTTTGCTGTCTCTTACAGTGTTGTGCACTCTATTCTCCTCGGCTATCTCAGCATTTTGGAAAGTGCACCTTCTTCCCAAGTAGAAAGCAAATGTAGAAAGTAGAAAGCTGCCTTCTGGAGTGTTGCTGTTGTGCTTGTGGGCTCTTGCTTTCTCCCCGCCACTCAGTGCTACTTGGCAGTGAGGTGGAAGGCACAGACACAGATGATGCATGTGGGTGTCTTATCTGCTGTGACTTACTCAGGGGGTCAAATGTGTAAAGGTGGCGAGAGCAGAATCTTTGATGGCAGAAGGTTCCATGACAGTTGAAGGTGCTCATTGGGGGAAGACTTGAGGCCATGGAGTTTCTGGTTGCTATCGGTGACAAGTATATTCTTGGCAGGAGAAGTTAGTTACCCAACATTCAGAAGAGCAAAGCGGACGGATGTGAGGTGATGATTTTATGTTGGCAGAAGGAATCTTTTAGTAAGATATGTGCAGAGTTGAAATGACAGTTAAGAGCATCTACAGATTGTTGCTACAAGCACATTAGCTTAGCTCTCTTGTCTTGAGGTGTGTTCAGAATATTGGAAGAAGAAAAAATTAAGGTACCTGCATGATTTGTGTTTTTGTTTGTTTGTTTGTTTTTGCTCCTGTAGTTTAAGAGATCGAGATGTGAAAGGAGAAAGTGAAGCTTTTATTCCTTGCTGCGTCAAAAACTTTATGAGAATATATTTGAGAATCTAACTTTACAGTTTTTGTATATGGTAAAACTGCAATTTGAAACAGTTGCTTCAGAGCACTGTCATAATATAGCTACCTCTGTAACGAGAGCATACAGTACGTGGGTTGCTGAACATTTTGATGAGCTTTGTGCTGCTTTAAGGATAAACATTTCTGTATTTTTGTACATGTACACCACTGCATTACACGTACAGTTCCTCCAATACAGAGAACAAACTCTTGTAGCTTGCCCCCAGATCTGCAAATACTTCATTTTAAAATTCTAGAAGATAACATGTATATGCTGTTACGTGTGCTTGCTCTCAGTGAGAGATCTGTCCATACAGCAAAACCAGCTGATCTCTGTGCTCTCTCTCCCAGGGAAACTCCGGGCATCCATCAGTCTGTTAATTGCACTAATTAGAGAGTGTGGAGGTGTTAATTGGAAAACCCTGGTATTGTGCCTGTTTAAGGGAAGAAAACGTCAATAAAAATTAATTGATGACTTGGCATGGCATGCGCACTTCACAGGTTAGAAGAGAGTCAAAAGATGTCAAGGCAAATGTTACTGCTCAGATTAAGCAATTGTTAATTAAAAAGCAGCAGTAATTAATATGCCTATGTGCCATATGGTATTGGGTCTCTCTTTACTCCTGTTGCCTGTCTCTTTCGTCTACCTCTTCCGTCTACCCCTAACCTCCTTTCACTGCCAAATAAAAGGTGTACTTTGAAACAAACAAATACGGAAAGTGAAATCAGTGGACAATTGTTAAATGAAATTATTTTGATTCCAGACAAAAAGAATCGCAATTAGTTATCCAGTCACACTAACTAATCATTGAAGGATGAATGTCTGACCTCCCTGCTCTTTATATTTGTGCATGTACTTGTATGTGGTATTGTTGCCAGTATTTCCTCTCCCAGAAAGACTGAAAAACCACCACTGCTCATCTGTATCTTTACTGCTTATTTATTCATTTAAATTTAAAATTTGCTTGGCACTGAGACTAGGCTTTAACTGCAAACAGGCCCTTTAAGACTACTAAAAATCTAGTCAGTTGGTAGTTCTTATTGGCTGCCATTTTGATATGCCATATACACTTACTTGTCCAGATTTCCATGGGTGGTAATTTGTGATACCTCGTGCCAGAGAGACTGACTAAATTGTTGGGCTTGTACTTCTTGATTGTACCCACATGCCTTCTTCTGAATGCAGATAAAATGGCGTAGCTTGCCATAGCAGTTGCTGAGAGAAATTTGTGTGTGTGTTTGTGTTTATACTATAGGATCCATTTCTAGTTTTGACAATTTATAGTTTGGTGATTTTTCAGTCTCCTGTCAAGGTTTCTAATAAGTTAGCAATAAATTCTCCTGGTATTCATGCTGGAAAAATCATTGCCAGGCTTAACACTCCTTCAATCCTTTACTGATAGTATTGGCTTGCTCATCTCCCAAAAATAAACTAGAATACTGCTCCCATTGTATAAATAAGGAACTCAGGGACCAGTGCTTCAACTCAAGCGAGGAGGCTGGCAGAAGGCAGCATTTATATAAAAGCAAATACCATCTATCAGGGTTTATTCCAGTACTACATACTGGTAATTATGTGAGTGTACTAACAAATGGGCAAAAGCATTGTGGTTGTGAAGTAGAAGATACTCCTCTATTATTCACCATGTGCAGAAAAGTGGAATTAACATCAATGAAATAGGTACTTGACTTTATTCTAAGTATGTATCTGAAGTCATGAGCAGATGTTAGGGTCAGTTTGTTACTCACTGCTATGATTATTATTTGTCTCAATTGTGTGACGTGACGTAAGAGTGCAATTCTATTCATGTCTACTGAGAAGTAGCTGAGTTCATAGGGCTTAAAGGTAAAGGGACCCCTGACCATTAGGTCCAGTCGCGGACGACTCTGGGGTTGCAGCACTCATCTTGCTTTACTGACCAAGGGAGCCGGCGTACAGCTTCCGGGTCATGTGGCCAGCATGACTAAGCCGCTTCCGGTGAACCGCTGGAGTGGTACCTATTTATCTACTTGCACTTCGTGCTTTCAAACTGCTAGGTTGGCAGGAGCAGGGACCGAGCGACAGGAGCTCACCCCGTCGTGGGGATTCCAACCGCCGACCTTCTGATCGGCAAGCCCTATGCTCTGTGGTTTAACCCACAGCGCCACCTGCGTCATAGGGCTTAGTCCCAAGTAAATGGGTACAGAATTGCAGCCTAAATATTTTCCCATTGTCTAGCTCAGACAATCCCATTCAGAATGTGATTCGAAGGTTGGAAATAAACCATGGCTTCACTCCTTCCATCTAATGCAGTGGTTCTCTCCTCCATTTCCTGGTTGTTCTAAGCATGGTTTTGGAATCTGGCAACTATGGTTTGCTTGATTTGAATGCCATGACAAGCTATAGTTAGAACAAATAAGGAAAGTGAGGAGGAAACCAGTGTTATGTTTCTAATCCTT